GGTGTGGTCTCCCGTGTTGGATGGAAAGAGGTACTCCGAATTTTAAGTTCCTCCCAAAATATCTTGCCCCCTATAGAGTAAAGAGAAAAACATGATGGGAATTTTGGGAAGGAAACCTGTGTAGCAGTTCTGTCTTTTCACTGTCTGCTTCTGTTTCCTTTTTATTTTTGACTGTCTTGTAGTAGAAATGGTTTCCCTGTTGCCTGTGATATGGAAGATAACTGAAGGCAGGCTGATGCATCAACATGTGACCCTTTTGTATCATTTATATGTACCTAAGGGCCAGAGAACCTTTGATTTTATGACCAGACCCAATTTTATAAGAGAACAAGCTAGGATGTATTATTAGAAGATGTTATGATCATGCTTTTTTCTTTCTTCCCCCCCGCCTTCACTTTGATTCTGGGTCCTCCTTGTTGTCCTTAGCTGTGCATTTTAGCTGTGAGTAGTTTAGGCAAGGGAGGTGATGTTTTCTTTGCACAGCTGAAGGAGGAAACTTCTTAATAGTTGGTAAGCAAAATGGAAAATGTAAGCAGAAGTGAACAGTGAGAAGAGGAATTGTTTTTTTTTTTTTAGTCAGTTGTTCAGGAACAGAAAAAGGAATTAATTTTGCACGGGCTAAGAAGTAAAACCAAAATTTTGAAGCTATTTCTGTGCTTTCATGCACTTTTTCATGATTTCTGAAAAAACCTCAAATTTTCACAAATCAGGTGTTCATTAAGCCTTCTCTTGGGATTTTGGTAGTGCTTACTGTTAGCTGAATTTTTTATATGACCAGTGAAATGAAAAAGAAATCTTTCTTCTGGACCTGTCGTCAGGGACAAATATGCACAACACTTCATAAGTTTCTTCTTCTTTTTCGTTCTTGTCTCAAGTCTTTTGAAATTTGAAAGTTAAACCCTAATTTTGTTCTCTGCATCATTTGATGCTATCTTACTGGCTTTAATCCAGCTGTTTCAAAGGCTGTACTCTGAAGTTGGTACTCTGTTTTCTGTGAAAGCAGCTAATTTGTTACCTTTTATACTTGGAGGAATTTTCACATCTTTTTCTTGCACTTACAGGTGAGCATTTAGCATTTTCTGGTATTTATGTATTATAAGTCTCCAAATTCAGGACTTCATTTTAAATAGATGGATGTAATACCCGGACATGCATTTAGCTGAGAACCACCAGTTTGGTGCTGAATAATATCTCACTGTACAGTTTTAAAACATAGTGTGTCCAACTTCTGCTTGGCCTTGGAATCATCAGTCATGGTGTGTCTGAATGCAAGGAAGAACACGTAATTTTATTCGTTCTCGGACGGTTTTTGACGCTGTTCCATGGGAGCTTCTTAAATCTCCCAGACCAGAAAGAGATTACACTGCTGCTTTGTTGTGCTGTACTCAAATTAATTAGATGTGGTTTGTTGTCCAAATGAGAAGGCATTTCAGATGAACACTTTGTTGGTGTCATTTTATTGTTTTCGTTAATCACTTAGGTGCTGTACTGGAGAAAGCGATTATAAAAACTGCACGTGGTGCCAAAAGCTGGCGAAACTTCTGGAGGTGGATAATAGTTCCTTTTGTGTTGGGTTAGTGGTGAAGCAACAAAAATACAACAGATTAGAAAAATTAGACTTGCAAAGGGAAAAAGTAGTATTGAAGAAAACTTCCTAGATGTTCCAGTGACATAAGCAAACATAGTAAAGGTGTTCCTTGCTGCCTGCTGTTTCATGCTGCAGGAGGTTCTGTCTCTGTAGGATGTACGGTGCAGGGAAATGGAATATAAAGCTACTCCTGAATTGCTATTTGTAGGTGCCATAAACTGATTCTGAGTTACTTTAATATGCCAGCTTGCAAATCATGGCATTTGGAAAACTTTTTCATGCATAACTTGGTTCTTCTGGCGGGGGGAGGTGGGTGATGAGAAAGGCCAATAACTCCAGCTGGACTGGGAAGTCTGTTTTTGGGGACAGCAATTGCTTCAGGTCTTCAAAATGAGTTTCTCTGTATTTATTTCAAAAGCTGATTTACAGTGGCATACTGCAGCAAGCTTTCTTGGATACTGTGGTGCATATGCAAGACGCGGGAGGTGATTTTCTGTTCTTCTAACGGCTGAGACTTCGCTAGCAGTGAGAGTCCTGTCCGGTTTGGAGTGCCACGCTTAGAGATAAGCTGGAGAGATTCCAGTTTAAGTTCAAGAGCAATGAGCTGTTTGAAAAATATAACCTGTAAGGAAGAGATGAGGTGATTGGGGTTTCTTTAGAAAACAAGAAATTGTTAAAGAGTGGGCAACTGTGATGATACTTTCTCAGTATATCGAACATTAACATCAGAAATGCCTGTGGCAAATTACTTTCTGTGTTCCAGGGAGCAGGATTAATTTCCAGCAAGAAAGTTTAAGATTGTGGTGGTTAGCTTGTTGGTTTGGGGTGTTTTTTGTTTGTTTGTTTGATTTTGTTATTTTTTTTCTGTAAGAATACGTAATGGAAATAGTGGAAGAGACTGTCTGGGGAAGTGGTTGCATCTTGGTTGTGGTGGGTTCTGAAGAACAGGTTAGGCAGACATGAATTATGCTATACGTATATTTCTCCAGCTTCAGAACAGGGCTGGAACAGTAACTTCTTAAGGTTCCTTCAGGTCTTTCTACTTCAGTTTTGTGGTTATATACTTATATATGAGGCAAAACCGGAGATGCAAAGAACTTGATATACTTTTGATCTAATATGGTTTGCCTTTCACACTTTGAGAATCTGTAAATCACACTATAAAAATAGAGGAGGAAATGTTATTGTTACATTCTGTATTTTAATTTTATGGCTTTAGAAGTGAAAATACTTGTGGGCTGCAGAAGTGAAAGCTGGCATTAATTCTCTTTTCCTGCCTTTTTCTTTGCAGGTCGCTTGGTTGGTGCCCTGGACGCCGTGTTAGACTCTAATGCACGCGTTGCTCCATTCCGAATTTTACTCCAAGTTCCAGGCTCACAGGTTTACTCTGCCATTGCATGTGGTGAGTTATTGAACGGATCAGAAGTTTACTGGGCCATAGCTATTGGTGAGTCTCAGATGAAAAACCCCAAACTGGTTCTGAGCATGGTCAGTGTCTGCATGTCCAAGAAGCTCAAGGTAACCCCAGCTAGTACTGTGCGTGTGTAAAGCTGTTGCCTATAGCTTGTTTAACATCCAGATTAACCTCTTAAAATCCCAGGTAGGAATTATGAAAGAGGGTTATTTTTTCTATAGAAAACTCGTTTAGCTGAGCGTGTTTGGTGTTGATTTTCTGTCTCTTGCAAAGTAGTGTGGTTTTGTTCATATGAACATGTTTTCCTACAGTAAAAATAGTTCCTTACAACAAGAAGCTACTTAGTTGAGGTGTTCACCAGTCTAGTCTTGCTTACTGTGAAATGTCATATCATGCATGGTTGTAATGAAATAAATTGGAACATTTGGAAGCTACTGCGTGGTTTAGGAAATAAAGTTGTCAGGGAGGAATGCCAAATTGCCTGGTTGGTTGTGCACTAATCCCTTTTGCAGTGTTTCTGCAACTGTTTGAAAGTTGAGCCCATCCTCAGAAAAGTGATATTGGTGTGAATTGCAGCAGTCTTGCCATGGCACAGCAAAGGCCAGCTGAATGCATCTGCTTCTTTCATCCTGTTCTTGGTTGGCCAGTCTGCCGGGCCAGTCTTATCCCTTCCACTCCAGTCAGTACAATTCTAGCATTGAAGTTACAGCAGGTTTTCTTTTGGGAATGGTTCAAAGCTGCGCCAGGGGAGGTTTAGACTGGATGTTAGGAAGTGTTGCTTTACCAAAAAGGTAAACAGGCTTCCTAGAGGGGTGGTTGATGCTCCAAGCCTGTTGGTGTGTAAGAGGCATTTGGACAATGCCCTTAACAACATACTTCTGGTCAGCCCTGAAGTGGTCGGGCAATTATAGAGTCATAGAATGCTTTGGGCTGGAAGGAACCTTTAAAGGTCATCTAGTCCAACCCCCTGCAGTGAGCAGGGACAGCTTTAAGCAGATCAGGTTTATCAGAGCCCCATCAAGCCTGACCTTGACTGTCTCCAGGGATGAAGCCTCCACCACCTCTCTGGGCAACCTGTTCCAGTGTTTCACCACGCTCGGACTAAAGAACTTCTTCCCAATGTCTAATTTAAATCTACCCTGCTCTAGTTTAAGCTCATTGTGCCCTGTCCTGTCATTAACATTCCCTTGTAAACAGTCCTCCCCATCTGGACTAGATGATCATTGTAAGTCCCTTCCAACCAAAGTATTATATTCCTATTCCTATTCTTTCCTTTCTTATATGAGTCAAGCCATGAAATAGTTAGCTAATGTAAGTGTTAATGTGTTGTTGATGGTGTTTGACATAGTAGTCTTTTAAATGGATGGGGCAATCTATATATTTGCCCCTTCTGTACAAGTTCATTCAGCATTTCTTCCTTGGTACAACAGAGATCCCTTTGTATACTCCCCATTAATATTGGGAAATTTTCCCTGTACCAGATGTTTGTGAGGAAGCTTGTGTAAAGTCTGTTTGCTCTATTTTAGTTGTGGCAAGTTTTTCTTTGTTTTGCAATTGCTCTATGCTTTTTATCCCTACCCTCCTCCTTTTTATATTTAAATAATGCCATCTCATGGAGAAGTTTAAGAGCTTCAAGCTGTTACAGTCCTCTAATGGAGCCAGGTGGCTTTCACTGGAAAAAAGAGCTCAGTGTTGCTGTCATGAACTTCTTGATCATTTGAATATATGTATAGTCCTTTCTGGGGCTGATCCTTGCCCTATCCACAGTCTTACTGTCCACAGTGGTGGGGTTTTTTGGTAATGTTAAGGAAACTACAAATCAAGAATTTGACTGGTTGGGATGGTTAAGGATTTTGCTGAGATAAACTTACTTGATTAATGTTTTCCAAAATTCTCTTTGGCTCTTCTGAATGGATGCTCAGGCCTGAGAAAATGAGATTTATGGTAGCATAGCGGAAAGCAGAAGGCTCTGTTTTGTATGCTGCGTGGGTAGGACGTACGTGTTTGCCAGGGCTGTCCAGAAATGAAGAACTGTGGTAGCAGAAATTATTTCTGAATAATATCACTGCTGTGAAGCCTTTAAGTGAATGTCCAGGGGAGAGCTGGCGTTGGCAATGGGAGTCAGAGGAACAGCATCACTTGGCCCTTTTCTGAGAAACCTGGAGGACTTGCCCTGCGCAGAACCGGCTGTCGCTGCTCTGCCCTGTCTGAGCAAGGTGCTTCTCACAAGCATGACATTAAGAGTTTTGTTACTGGGTTTGGAAGGAGCAATGAGTCAAAGTCCTTGCTGTATACCAAGGGCAGGGAGCAGCTCCAGGAGCAACTTCCAGTCTCCTGGTGTAACTTCATTAGGGATAGCCATCATATCATTAGGCAATTAATTAGAATGACATTTTTTAATTGTATATCGGTAGTCCTCTATCCCAGAAGCTGTAGGCTTAAATGATAATATATGCATAAGGGTCAGATCTGTGTTAGACACTTTTGCAAATCTCTGAGGGCTGCTAGGACGTCTGATCCCTGCCCAGCCAGACTGTTCTGGCAGAGATGTTTTAATCCAGATGGTTAATCATGTTATACCAGCACAGGGGAAAGAAAAAAGAAAAAAAAAAAGAAAAAAGAAAAAGAAAAGGCTAACCTCAGCCCTAGTGCAGATCCACTTAGGATTTTCCTTTTAGAAGGCTTTTGGGCAAAACACAAACCCAAGTCTCAGACAAGTGAAGTACCTTTTGAGAGAGGAAAAGCAAAGGGATTGGTGAGAAGTGGGTTTAAAGAAGAGGTTATGAGGAGTGAGGCTGTGGTTTTAAACTACATATACATTTGGCACAGGCACATGAAGAAGGTGGCTAAAAGCTGGAACAAAATGTGCAGAGCATCGACACAGGAAGGGGAATAAGGAGGAGGTTGGCAGTGCTTGGGTCAAATCACAGGGTAACTTCAGGCAGTGAAGCTGGAAATAAAGAAGGGAGCTGAAAAGCTGAGGAGTTCGCCTGACCAAATGAAAGGGGCAAAGAGATCATTCAGTATTTGAGCAGAATGCCTGGAGATACCTAACGGCAGGCAGGAAGGATTGCAGTAGCTCCCGTGGTAGATAGCCACTGCCAGAACCCAGGCTCAGAGTGGTCCGAGCAGCGTAGATGCTTCTGGAAAAGGCATCTTGCTCACAGCTTATTTCACAAGAGGCAGCCCACCAGTTCTTCCATATGGACGGTAACTTTTAGGTTGCTCAGAAATAAAAATTAAAATCAGTATGTGCTTTACGCAGCCATTTCAGTATAAAATGACTGTATTTCTGATGTTCTTAGGCATTAATATAAGTTTCTTTTCTTTACCTAAAGGGCATTTAAGAGTCTCTTCTTCTGTGATTTTTTTTTTTGAAATTAATCTTGATTAATGATATTTATGAAGTTCCATCACAAGACTTTCCTGTCAAGGAAGTTAAAGCTTGGAACATTTCCCTGCCAATTGGCATTCTGCATGGAAAACAAATTAGAGGAAAGTGGAAAATCCTTAGCTAAATTTATCGTGTTTTTTGGTTGTGAAGCAACATGATGCATCTCTAATGTACATACAGAGCAAATCTTGGGACAATGCGCCTTCCAATCGAGATCCATTTTATTATATTGTTCAGTGGTTTGCGTGTCTCTTACATCCAGCTACTTCTCTCCTTTCTTCCAATGTCAAGGTGTTAGGAAAAGCGGTTTTTGCTGCCTTAACTTTTTTACTGTAGCATTTAATCGCTGACCAGTAGGAGCTGGAGGGGCCAGATTTTCCCCTAATTGCCTTGTATATTGCCCATCTTGCTCTGACTTTTCTGTCATTGTGTGATGCAGTGACAGTTTAGTTTAAAGCAGAAACAACCAAAGCAAATAGTTGGTGACTGAAATATTTCTGGAGTTAGTGTGAACACGTTACCTTTAAAACAACAACAGCAAACCCCTTAAATAAATCCTTAAATAAGAACACCTCAGAGATTTGAATGTATTTGACAAAGATTTTCTGTTCACTGGTTCTTCCTCAAACTGCAGAAGTGTGCTCTTACAGACCTTTCAGGTGTTGCTGAACCAAACTCCTTTATTTTTAGGTTACTTTAATTATTACAGAGAGCTTTTCAAATAAGGTGCTCATTGTGACCTCTCAGTGTGTATACATGGGTGTGTGGATGAATGTGTGTGCTTATGGAGGCAGAGAGAAAGGCAGATCCAGGGACTTTTGGGAACAGGACATGAATCAAAGATTTCCAGTGGACATGTAAAGAACATCATGTCAAAATAAGCTGCAGTCTGGCGGCTCAGGTTCTTTTACTTTGACTTTTAATGCAGCGTTTGCTGGCTGAGAGCGTTTGAGAAGATTAAACTAAAAACACTAAACCTAATTCTCTAAAACGATGAGGTTTTTGGTTTCCTGTAACCGGACTGCTATAAATGAGACCTTTTTGACTTGTTTGCTACCAAGAATTTTGAGGTTTAAAGTTCAGTTTCTCATAATGAATATATAACACGGTGTGTTTTATTACCTTTTTTTTTTCTTCCTTTCAGTTTTATTTTATAGGATCAGTTTCAATATGCTACTTTTTGCTTTTCTAGGTGCCACTGCAGAGGAGATAAACCAGCACTGGGAATGGCTGGAACAAAACTTGCTCCATACTTTGTCTGTGTTTGACAATAAAGAAGATATTGTTAGTTTTGTCAAAGGGAAAGTGAAGGTAAGGAAACAGTCTTACTTTCACCTTCCCTGCCTGATAACTTGTGATTTTAAGTTCTTTACTGTGAGAGTGGTGAGACACTGGCACAGGTTGCCCAGAGAAGCTGTGGCTGCCCCCTCCCTGGAAGTGTTCAAGGCCAGCCTGGATGGGACTTGGAGCAACCCGATCTGGTGGGAGGTGTCCCTCCCAGGGGAGGTGTCCCCTGCCCATGGCAGGAGTTTAGAACTAGATGGTCTCTCAAGTCCCCTCCAGCCTATGGCATCTATGATTCTATGATTTATTAGAAATAATATGATGAAGTTGTAGTCATTCATATTTGATTTTGTCCATCTAAACCCTCATGTGGCCAGCAACTGTGCATCTTAACTGGCATTTCCCTGGAGACATCTCAAAACCAAAGTATGTTAATTCAGTCTTTACTCTGTCGGCTTCCAGCTTCACTGCTCTTCTATTCCCCGTGATGTGCAGCTGAGCTTTCTGCAGCATCTGCTTTCAGTTACTCTACCTCTCCAAAACAACACCTTCCCTTCCTATGTCTCAGCTTTTCCTCCTTACTGCTTTTCTCCTCCTATCTCCCGTGTTTTTCTGAGCTTTAACCAGTCCATTTCTCCTGCCTGTTTGATGCTCCTGACTCTCTTGACAGGGCTGAGGGGTGTCAACAGCCGAATCAGCATGCCCATGTGGATGATCACATAGTCCCTGCAGGACAGGGACAGGGGACAAGGCACTTGTGCAGTGTTAGCGGCATCATCGGGGTCTGGCACAGAGACCACTGGTGGCTTTGCACTGTAGTGAAGCTGCTGGCTGTCCACAGGGTAGCAGAAATGAGAGCATCCTTTTGGAAGGCTAAAGAATTTTAAAAGTAAAGGGATTTGATGACCAAAGACTAGATGTGGTGGTTTGGCCCTGGCTGGAGGCCAGGAGTTCACCAAAGCTGCTCTATCACTCCCCTTTTTCCAGATGGACGGGGAGAAGTAACATGTAACAAGAGGCCAGTGGGTTAAGATAAAAGCAGTTTAATGTAGGAATAGCAAATGCTGCATGTGGAAGCAAAGCCAAACAAAGATTATTCTCTACTTCCCATCAGTGAGCGATGTCTGGCCACTTTCCCAGGAAGCAGAGTTCCAGTACGCGTAGCGGTTGCTCCGGAGGACAAACCCAAACAGTGAATGGCCCCCACCTTCCAGAGGACAAACACAAACAGCGAATGCCCCCCCGCTTCCCTCTTCCTTCTCGCTTTTTTATCTGAGCTGACGTCATATGGGATGGAATACCCCTTTGGCCAGTTTGGGTCAGCTGGCCTGGCTGTGTCCCCTCCCAACATGTTGCCCGACCCCAGCCCACTGTTGGGGGAACGTTGGAAAACCACAGCCTTGGTGCTGTGTGAGCACTGCTCAGCAGTAGCCAAAACACCGAGGTGCTACCAACACCCTTCCAGCTACCATTCCAAAAACCACAGCACTGAGAGAGCTGCTGTGGGAAGATTAACTCCCCCTCAGCCTGACCCAGTACACCAGATATGAAATAGTCATGTGTAGCTAAACTTACAAAGCCATAGAGAGTCCTGAGCTCTGCTTCTAGTAAAATACATGCTCCAAGAGGAGCTTGGTGATGACTTTGGGGCGATGCAGGTCTGCTAGTGACTGCAGTGCCTCAGGTCCTGCCATGAGCTTTTCCTTGCTAAGAGTTTTAGTGAGGTACTCTTCCCCCACACCCCCTTTTTTGGTCTGGAAAGTTTCTAGGAATATAGTGGTTTTGGTGTATTTCAGCCCTGCTGATATGATCTCAGTGGCCTCTGAAGTCGGGGAAGAAGGGAAGGGAGAGGCAACAGATAACCATGTAAATCTTAGTTTTTGTCGTGCTTTCGTAAAAAAACACCAATTTTGCCTAAGTGCGCCACAGGGCTCCTATAAAATTAATCTCTTTTGATAATGCTGTGGCAGTCTGTTACCTAGCGCAGCACATGTTTAAAATTCTTCAGGTTTTGTTAGTTAAGTCAAGGTTTTGGACTACTGCCTTGGCTGTAGATTTCTGATGTATTAGGACTGTTTGGTTATTGCAGATTACAGCAAGTGCTGTAACATGCGACTTGTTTGTCTGAACAGTACGATACCATACTTCTTAACTCCTTTGTTGTAGTACTGCTATTGAAATTCTCAATGCTTAATTATATTTACATAGATGTTCTTGAAGCCACATTTTTAACGGTTCCAAGCATGTTACAAGTTACTGACACATCTCACTGTGTTGCCTCTTCATAGGAAAATAGTAGTGGTCGGTATACACGGTTGTCACTCTGCTCTAGCTCGTTCCACACTAAAAACCAGCGATCATGAACTATAGTGATATTGTAAATGTATGGTTTTGCCAGACTCATTGAAAAAAATAATAATAACAAAAAGCCTCTGGAAGTTTTGGTTTGGAAGCATTCAAAATATCTGAGGAATTTCTCTGTGTGTGGAAATTGCAAATCAGCTTGAATTTCTTTGTAAGAAAGGGTTGCGTTACTGAAATTTGAATGGGTGGCTTGTAGCAACTTGCTCGACTGTGAATGCCAATACCTTTATCCTGCTGCATTGTCTTGTTATGGACTTAGGCACTGATTGCAGAGGAAACGAGCAGCAAGCTCGCCGAGCAGGAGGAAGACCCTGAGAAGTTCCGAGAAGCCCTGGTGAAATTCGAATCCAGATTTAATTTTCCCGAAGCAGAGAAGTTGATCACCTATTATTCCTGTTGCTGCTGGAAAGGGAAAGTTCCTCGGCAAGGCTGGCTTTATCTGAGCATCAATCATCTCTGTTTTTATTCCTTCTTCCTGGGCAAAGAATGTAAGTGTAAATGTGTAAGAAATCTAGGACTGGGAAGAGATGTAAATATAACTATATTTAAAAGCAGGAGTAGCTAGAATTTTTATGAGAAGCCTAGATCGCCTCTGAACTTTAGTTTCTGTTGTTCAGCTGAAAGATCCTGTTTAATTTAGTTTTCACTTCAGCCTTTATGTTTACATTTTAGTCTGATGGAATAATAAAAATGAGACTATAAGAGCATGCAGATACAGCTGCTATCCAGTTCTTTTTCTTGCAGTGGTGAAGCAGCCCTAAAATGTCACCGACCTCCTACAGATTCTGAAACAGAGACTTTTAGTGCCGAAAACGGTGACTGAGGACGCGTCCCTCCCACAGGCAGGGAAGCAGAGGAAGGGCTGGTGGGTCCAGGGATGCTGGAGCCAAGCTGTCTGCCTGAAAATAGCCCAGGAAATGTAACAGGGCTGTGCCATGCAGAACCAGGGGAATATTCAGTGGTTTTTAAGGGAAAACAGCAGCAATTTAGGTATTTACTTGTGTTTCTGCATAGCAATACAGGAAGGTCTCGAGAAGTGTGTCCCAGGGTTTTTAGACCTTTGAACGGTTCATTGAGTTGTAAGACTTTGGTCATGGTGTTCCTCTACAGAGAAAGGGTCATGAGATTCTGAAAAGCCTGTCAGAATAGATACTAGAACCTAAAAATGAATGTCATAGATATTAGACAGTGAAAACAAATATAGCCGTTTAAACTTCTGTAGCATTTCTCTGTTTAGTAAGACTGTGCATGAACTGGTAACATTTTAAGTCCTGTTTATCCTACTGGAATTTCAGCAAGGATGGTAATATAAACCTATAGTCCTATAAATATGGAAAGAATTGTCAGTTGTAACAATTAGAAAAATTTTACCATGTACTGCCTGGATTTAGTATTGGGATGGCTAGTCAAAACTGTAAGTTTAAAAAGTAAGTACATTAATGTAAAGATAAAAAAGATAGTAGTTTGGTTATTTCTAACACTTAAAACATACAAAGACTTGCTTAGAGTTAGAGGTTGTTTTTTCCCCTTACATTATTTCAGGCCAATTATTTTGTCATATCTGCAAAAGGTGGCAGAGTTAGATTTAAAATGCAAGTAAGTTTGTTCATCATGAAAACAGATGTTGAATTTTGCTGTGAAGACTAGATCGGAGTGTCTTGATACATTCTAGATAGCTGAATTCTTGTTTAATCTCCTTGTTTTCTGTTTAGTATTAAATAATACCTTTTGTCAATAATTTTTTCCTGCTGTCATTGCAGGCTTTCTCTCATGAAGTCTGAGATATCTAGTCTGCCAAAGCACACAAAGCAAAAATGATACTTATTAATGATAGATAGTGGGGGAATGAGGAGATGATAGATAGTGGGGGAATGAGGAGGGAGAGAAAAAAATCCTTCATATTGTTCCAAAAATGTTGTTTATGCAGTACCATGGGTCGTTAAATGATACTGGCAGTTCACAGCATCTCACTGTATTATTTAAAAAGAATTTTCTCACTTCTTTTAATAATAATAATTCATTATGAAAATACAAAAAAAACCCCACAAACTTTTCATTTTGACCCTGGAAAATGCACAGTTCATTCACCATTGCAGTCAGCTGCATTGCCTTTGTGTTCCCATGCATTTGCAAGGAAATCTGAAATAAAAACCTGCATTTTCTTTCAGTTAAACAAACTTCCCTAGCTCAGTGGGAAGTGTTATATGCTGAAAAGCTTCCCACTTCCTTGATACTAATAAAGCTAGTATTTTGTCACTTTGCTGAAATACTTACATCAAATAATCCACATTTACCATAGTTCTGTTTGTTACTGTTTGAGAAGCTGATGCTGATTATATGTAAAACAAGTGATTCATTGTCTGTTTTTTTCAGGTAGCAATCACAAAATAAAATCTGATTAAATCTGGTCTTAAAAGTATTGCTAAGAAATCTAATTTATTTCATTTTTCCGTGCAACACACGGGGAAAAAACAATATATGAGTTGCAATAAAAATAGTTTTAAAATGTATTTTAACTACGTAAAAGTCCTCCCAAATTGTAAGCTGAAATCTCTGTGTTAAGTCTTCTGCTTCTGGCAAGTCTGTCCCTTTCCCCTTGTTTTGTTATTTGTTGAAATGACCTGGAATGCAATATTGGAACCTGTTTTCAGCTTCTCATAAAATTAACTTACGGCTTAGGCGAGCATAAACTCCACAGAACACTTTTTCCCAGGACAGGTCCCCTTTTATCTAACCCTCGAAGTATTCACAGAATTTCAGAGGCTTAGATCGTCAGATTTCTTGAAAGGGCGTGCCGAGCTTTCTTCGCGCTTTTTAATTAAACTTGTCCTTTTCTAAAACTTTGAAGACTTTGTACCTTTTGCCAGTAGTTTGAGCCCCTTACGGTCTGCTGTGCTGTTTCTATAACCAGCACTGCAGAGCCGATGTGATTCCGACCTGTGTGAACAATGGTGCTATTGCTACGGCGCTATTTCATCTTTCTTCCCTTGGCCGTGCCCGTACAGATGATTTTATGACCGTTTGTAACAGTCTGTGCGTGTTGACGCAGCTGTGCTTTGTTTAAGGAAGAAAAAAATGTAATCTGCAGATAATCTTGACAGCTGTGGTTCGTGTAGTACAGAGAACTTGCTGGGGGTAGCTTCTTAGGTAATTAGTGATCATGGCTAAGTGTCATATATATATATATGACAGTGTTTGTTATTACTGCCTTTTCATTGCTTTATTGGCATCAGGAGACGAGCTAGGGATGTTAAGGGGTGTAGTCTTGATGTTATTGGCACGGGGAATCCTGGGAAGCTTCCAACAGTTGTTAAATAGAAATTTAATCTATTTTGAAGTCCTTTCCAGCCTAATTTCTACCTAGAGATTTGTATAAGAGAGGCAAGTAACATCCTGCAGTGGTTATCAAAAATAAGCTGATTCTATTTACCATTTGTATTTATAGGATTCAGCAGTGTTTAAGCACAGAGAACAGTGTCCCATGCTTTTTCCTTTTCTGTAAACAAGTCTGACTACAGTTAACATTTAGGGCAAGATTTGCCTGTGCACCTTGGCAGAAAAAAAGTAACCAAAACAGGAATATCCCAATGCCCAGGTGGCTTCTATTTTTTTTTTTAATTCCATACTTATCGTAGTAATTAAACTTTATAAAAATGTCTGTGTGCAAAAGCTTCTTCCTGCATGGGAGCTAGCTTCATTTTAAAAGTTCAAGTACTCTGCATGTAGTTGGGTTTCCACCTCCTTACAGTTTTATCTCTGGGGGATTACAATCCCTATTATCTTTGTACTCTTGAAATGAACTGTTTCTTCTGGTAGTAATGCAGCAGGCTACAGAAATGATTTGTAAGGGAGTTAGGAGCAGAGCTTACGGCTGGTGTTCTGCGAAGGCAGAACTCCCCAGTCCAGCACTTCGTATGAAAATAGGTAAAATTTTGAGGGAGAGATTCCAGAGACAGACAGTCTTTTGGAGTGGGAGAGAACGAATGCAGAGTAATAACAGGCATTTCAGCTTTTGCCTTGTCTTTGTCTGTAAAAGTGGCTTCTCTCTCCTCTTTGGTTGTTTGCATTTCACTCTGATTTTTCTTATTTCCTGAACCTGAAAAATGCAAGCAGATTTTCCCACCCGCTTTTGCTCTTTTCTCCGGTGGCAGTGAAACTTATCATTCCCTGGGTTGAGGTCCAGAAGCTGGAAAGAACCTCCAATGTCTTCATGACAGACACGGTCCGTGTCACCACTCCGAACAAAGAGCGCGACTTCTCCACGTTCCTCAATATCGCCGAAGCTTTCAGGATCATGGAACAACTGGCAGATGTGACGCTCCGAAGGCTACTGGATAATGAGATCTTTGAACTGGATCCAGGCCTGCAGGATCCTACTCAGATTACCAAGAGGTAAAAAGCTAAATTGTTGTGCGAGCGGAGGTTCGGTGGTGGGCTTCATGTTAGCTGGGTAGGATTTCAAAGGTTTGCTTGATTGAGTGCAAAAGATATTTTATAAGATATTATGGTGTGTCCAAAAGTTGCATTTTAACTTCTGTGCAAGATAACACTTTCCAATTTATATTCTTTCCTTAAACATCACTTTGGTTTTTGCTCGTTTGTTTTAAAAGTACCATTCCTCATAGAAGGGTAGATTGCAGCAAGGAATATTTTCCATCTTCCCTGAGGAGCAACATTATTATTTTTTAATATAATTTGGCAGTGCGTAGGCTTTCCCTATGCCATCAATTCTATAGAATTATTTCTTTTGGTCATATCTGAAGCGTAGAATTGCTCACTAATGTGATGGCCACAGCGAACTTAGCAAAATAGGACTTAAAAAACCCACAGGCAATTATTGTCAGCTCTATCCTCTGTGTCACCGAAATGCATCTCTGCATTCCTCTCCCACTACAGAAATGCATTGGGCTCTCGGTGAGAACATTGGTAACTATTTCTCTGCCAGCAGCACAGCACGTGAGTCTGTGTTTTATTTTCTGCTGTGGGAAAGGGGAAGGGAAACTGCCTGGAGGAACTGTAGGTGGGCAGGATGGAATAGCTCAAGCTGGGATTTGCCTGAGGCATCAGGATTAAGGTACTGGTTTAAAGTACTTCTTTTCTGAATGGGATGTGAGTGCGGTGCTTATCCCCTCACGAATCATGCCTTTTCCTATTCCTTCTTCCACTGCCAGAGGTGTGAAGCCAGAGGTGTGAAGGGAATGACCCAGGTGTTGCTTCCTGGCTAAAACTTAAGGAATATGTGGGATCATTCCCAAAAACTAGAGACACATCCAGTAGCAGTTTTATTGTTTCTGAGGGACATTTTTGCAGTGATGTTGGGTATACGTGTTGGCTAAACACTTCTGCAAACTTTTGTAGGGGAGTTTAAAACAATAGAGCACACTTTCTTTGCAGTTTCATAAGTACACACAATGAGGAAAGTTGCTGACACCAGGATTTCATCCCTGGTGTCGAGGAGTTCATCTGAGGTGATATTGTGGTCAACAGCCACCTTTGCAGCTTTTTTCCTCATACTCAGGCTTCCTTTAAAGAGAAGAGCTACCATTGTTTTCAGAATGCATGTGTAACTGGATATTGTTAACATTTTAGGTTTCTGGCCCCCCAAAAGTCAGATATGTGCTTTAACTAATGTAGGATGTGGCCATAAGTGCTAAGTTTTATCTAAGCCCACCCTTTGCTATTCTATCCTCCTCCCATTTTTGGACTGAAAAGTTAGATGCACCAAGCAGGGAAAGTAAATCCAGAGGACATGTGACACAGAGCACATCTAACATGTGCTGATGTGCTGTAACTTGAGATGGCAGAAAAGGGAACATGGAAACATGGAATATGCCAAAATCTCATTTCTTCTGCACGAATTAGGTAGTAGTTGGATAAGTAGCTGTTTCTGGTGCCCTTTGTCACACTTTAGCAACTGCTTTGATGTAACTGATTAAGCAAGACTGTAGTTTGAATAGTGGATAAACTGGTTTTTAATGCTGACATGTTTTGGGGGGTTTGAACTTCTTTTGGTGTGTAAAGATTCTGTTGCTGTTTTTTTTCCTGAAGCTATTGTAGTACTACAAAAAGAACTATTTTCCTCTTCACATTTTCCCCCGAATAATTGTCTTTATTAATTCTTGCGTATGATTCGGAAGCAAATAGTAGTCTATCAAAACAAAAGCAATAATCCACGTGTCCTTAGAACTATTCCAGCTGTGTCAAATTAACAAAGTTGCTGTAAATTGCTTTTGTTGTTTTAGGCTTTCTTCTGTACGAGGCTTGCCTCAATACCTTTATTTTTAAAAAATGCATTTTTAATGCTGTCATGGTCTGTATATTCTACATTCTGAAAACCAGAAGCCTTTGCTGCTGTTCCTGAGGCTCCAGGGGTCATCCTGCTGAGCAGTGGAGGGATGGGACTCAGAGAGGCTGTGGGGTGAAGCCCAGTCTATGACACAAATTATATCCTGGCCAGAGTCAGACAAGTTAGTATACAAGTTTTTGCGCTGCTTAATGAGATCATAGAATCATAGAATGGCCTAGGCTGGAAGGGACTTTAGAGATCGTCTAGTCCAACCTCCCTGTCATGGGCAGGGACGCCTCTCAACTAGATCAGGCTACTCAAGGCTCCGTCCAACTTGGCCTTGAACACCTTCAGGGAGGGGGCAGCCACAACGTCTCTGGGCAATTCATTCCAAAGTCTTGTCACCCTCGTACTGAAGAATTTCTAAATCAATTCTAATCTAAATCAATTCTCCTTCAACTTAAACCCGTTTCCTCTTGTTCTATCAGTGGATGCTCTTGCAAAAAGTCCCTCTCCAGCCTTCCTGTAGGTTCCCTTCAGGTATTGGAAGGCAGCTATTAGGTCCCCCCGAAGTCTTCTCTTTTCCAGGCTGAACAATCCCAGCTCCCGCAGCCTGTCCTCATAGCAGAGATGATAAGGCTTGGAACAATGGATTACAAAAGGATTAATGGCAATTAAGTTAATTGCCGTAAAAGGCAAAGTAAATCTGCAATTTCCTGCAGATATATTTATATGCCATACAATTCTACTCGAACATAAGGTAACTGTTTTTTTATTTTTTTTTGTAGGAAGGTTGCTAAAATCTGATACCGAGTTCTTGCACTTTTTTTTCCTTCTCTTTCAGGATGCAAGAATATCCATTGCATTCCTCAAATGCGAGGAAATTGGCCAGAGCAGAAAGTGCACTTTAAAAGCTGTAGTGCTGCTATCAGCAAGGATTTCAAAGTATGATATGTTTCTTCAGGCTCTAAGCACCTCAGTTTCTTTTCTTCATGTCTAACTGTGAATTACCAATGAGGATGGCTTTGCTTCATATGAAAACAAAGGTTTTTTAACACTGATCTAAGCTGATGGAAACTGAAGTATCATGAGTTGTAAATGTCACTTCACTCTGTATTAATTTCCTCAGAGAGGGAATCCCAAGAACACTTTAAACCTTAAGCAACAAGGAGGATGTGATGAGAAAAAAACTCCTTTTATTGCCTCTGCCTGACAGAAGGCAGGATTGGAATTATCTCTGTGTGTGACTCATGGCAGATGATTGCCTAACCTGGGGTTAAGGTTTTCCAGTAATGGAAATACCAAGATCCATACTGCTACTTCGCTGTCTTATCATTGAAAAGTCTTCCTGAAGTCTAACTTGAATCTTTTGTGCAGCTTTCTGAGTCTATTACTTCTTGTCCTACCAAGTATTATAGGAGAGATAAGCAAGTTTGCAGATGACACCAAGCTGAGTGGTGAGGTCGACATGCCAGAGGAATGGGATCTCCTCCAAAGTGAACCAGACAAGCCAGAGAGATGGGTCCATGGGAACCTCATGAGGTTCAGCAAGGCCAAATGCAAGGTCCTGCACCTGGGTCAAGACAATCCGCATTCTCAGTACAGCTTGGGAGATGATGTGATAGAGAACAACCCTGAGGAAAAGAACTCGGGGATATTGATACATGAAAAGCTGGACATGAGCCAATGATGCCCGCTCACAGCCCAGAAGGCCAATCGCATCCTCGGCTACATCAAAAGCAGCGTGGCCAGCAGGTTGAGAGGTGATTCTGCCCCTCTGCTCTGCTCTGGTGAGACCTCACCTGGAGTACTGTGTCCAGCTCTGGGGCCCTCAACACAAGAAGGATGTGGACCTCCTCCAGAGGAGGCCACAAAAATGATCAGAGAGATGAAGCACCTCTTCTGTGAGGACAGGCTGAGAGAGTTAGTTTTGTTCAGCCTGGAGAAGAGAAGACTCTGGGAGACCTTATAGCAGCCTTCCAGTACCTGAAGGGGGCTACAGGAAAGCTGAGGAGGACTGTTCACAAGGGTGTGTAGCGATAGGATGAGGGGCAGTGGTTTTAAACTAGAACAATGTAGGTTTAGACATTAGGAAGAAGTTCTTTACTATGAGGGTGGTAAAACACTGCCACAGGTTGCCCAGAGAGGTGGTGGAGGCTCCATCCCTGGAGACACTCAAGGTCAGGCTTGATGGGGCTTTGAGCAACCTGATCTAGTTAAAGGTGTCCCTGCTCACTGCGAGGGGGTTGGACTAGATGACCTTCCAGCCCCAACACATTCTATGATTCTATGTTCTCTTCTTCTTTAGAGAAACCGTTAATGTACTTGTTTTGCATCTCCTTCCTCTTTTCTCCTTTAAACTGCACTGCTGTATTTCAGCCAGGTTTTTCTTAACGACCTTGGTTTTAGGCCTTCTGGTCGTTTTTCTCTGAACATTCGTCTCTTATGCCATGTGGCTGCAGATGTGGGGTGGACGGACACAGGATTTCGCCCAACACCTCACTGGTGCTGACCAGAACAGGAGCAGCACAACCATCTCTGCAGCAACTCTGGGACTGCTGTGCTGCATCTCGGTGGTCACGCACTTCTTCAGCCCAGCATGGTGCTCCTCTTCCTCCTCTGAGCACGAATGAAGCTGTTGGCTCATGTTCAACTTGCGATCATGTAACCTGTAGGTCTTTCCTTTTTGCTGCGCAGCTGCTGGTGGTGTTGACCTCTGAAAATATTTGTAATGCTTTTTGTCCACACATCCCTGAAATCTATGAGTATCAATCTGAATCTGATCCTGTTCTTCTGCTCATTAGCCTCTATGAGCTTCATGTCACATGTAAGTTGAATAACACCAGTCTCTTGATCCATCATGCAGATTGGTAGAAGCTAGTCTGACTGACCCCCAAGGAGGTCCTCTCAATGCAGCCTTCCAATTTCCCACGGAGCCTTTGAGAGCTACTTTTTGGGGTACTCTTTTTCAGCTGGCTTGGTACAACAGTTTTTCACTTCAGTCCTGTTTTATTAGTTCCCTGTGCGGATATATTAAGACTTTCGTAAATTCTGGATAAAACATCCATTGCATTTGCTCCATCTGCAAGTCCAGGATTCCTGTTACGTAAGGGAATGATGTTCAGTTTCCATGTGCCCTGATGAGTCCATGTTGACTCTTCTCAGATGAATTCTGCTGCCTCACTTACAAGCAGCCTTTCTTGCCATGTGAATTGAGCAGATCCTGGAATAAACAAGATGTATATAATTTAATATTTTGTTTCCAAAATCTGTAAATTTCTGGAGTCTGAATAGCAAAAAGTCTAGTGATTGGTCTCTAAAAGCAAGAGACCAGCCAGTCTGTTCAGGTTTTAGATAGGCAGCAAGTGACTCAGCAGAGCTAAAACCTTGCCAAGTTGACTTCTGTTAGATTTAAAGCCGAGAAAAGCATTTGACAGTGAGGACATAATTTTAAGCGTCCTGATACTTTTAGGCATTTTGTTAGCCTTGTGTGTTATTTCCTTTAATTTAAAACTCTTGGGAGGTAACGGAGGGGTCATGCACAAGGAGTTATTGCAGTTCAGACTTGCTATTCACTTTGAAGTGCTGGGGTTGGAGGCAGTCCAGGATCCCGTAATGTGCAAGTTGGGAGCTGCATGTGGGAAGAATTGCTGAGTTTTTTGAAAAGTAGGGAACAAGGCAGTTGCATCTTCGCACCTTTTGTTCCGATGCATGTGTGAACAGTTGATAAACATTATTTCTATGTAATGACAGCATTCCGTTTTTTTCCTTAGGTACAGTTCAGTACAGTACATTTGCTTAAAAACCCAATCACCATGGAAATTGTTAAGTTAGAGAGGAAAATTTCAAACCGATTGAGCTGCAGGTAGAAAGGTTTTGTTTCTGCTCAGCATTTCACAGGTATTGTGAAACTCAGAATGGAAGCTGTGGGACCGGGTGACGTGGGCCAGCTGCTACATCTTGGCTGTGTCATATTTAAAGAATTGTCAGTCTTGTTTTAGGAGCTAATTTCATTTGTGGGTTTTTTGGAGTTACAGGGTTGGTTTGGTGGTGTTTTTTTTTTAACCAGCTCTAATTTTGTTTGGCTGTTATTTGCGAAGGGAAGCAATTCCTTTAAACCGTAGAATATGCCTGCCTAATGGGGAATATTTACATGATGTGCCACTTTCTAATAAAACCTCGTATTTGAGCCCACAGCAGTAGGTGCTGACAGCATTTTATCCCCGTGCTACCATTTTTCTTTCCGGCATCCCTCCTGCCAGTGGACTCGCCCCTCTCTTGGCACTTGTCTCGAGGGCAGCCCTGGCTTCGGTGCAGTCTCTGCGATGACTCTGTTGTGAGTCACCGGAGGACAGGCAGTTCAGGGATGTTGGGGTTGGCAGCCTTCCCCCAGCACGGGGCAAGGGGGCTGGACGCAGTGCTTGGTGAATTTACTTAGTTTGGATGCAGGAAATGTCATTCTTCAGCTTAAAAACCTGTGGCTTCTTGTTTGAAAGGCCCCACACCTGGAGCCTGCACCTCCTAGAGATGCAGCAAAATCCTGAAAACGCAGGAACTGCACATTTTGGAGTATTAGAAACAGTCAGCTCTTAAATAAAAGACAATTTCTTCCTCATCAGAGGTCCCACTCTTCTGTATAATGCCTCTTTCCACTTAACGGTGTAGAAATTTTAACAGCTGAGTAGATCCAAGGAGAGTCTTACCCTCTCAGCACAATAGCGGGAGAGCCCAGCTTTACCCAGACCTGACTGCAGATGCTATCAGCAGCGTTCATCTGTGCTGTGCAGAAATGGAAAATATTTTACTGGTGAGTTAACTAGGAGACATATCCTGATCCAGCTTTGTCACAATAGCAGATTGCTGCGGGCACTTATCAGAGTTGCTCTCACTGTGGAATTTTAACTCGGGAGCAACCTTTTTGTCTTCCTTCACATAAAGGGTTTCTCTTTGTTCTTTGTGAAAAACAGGAGACTATTTGTCTGTTTTCCTTGGATAATACTATTAAGGAAGATAATGCTTGAGAAGGAAACAGCAGCCAAACACTCATCGAGCGCGTTCTGTCTTTTCTGTTGGTCCCAGATACAGATCCTCCCTTCTCAGGTCTCAGTTTGTTCTGAGTTGTCTTCCTCCCTGTTTCACATGGCTTTTGTTTTCTGTATGGATTAAGCTGAAATGAAAGAAAAAACCCAAAAATAAACAGTTGATTTACTTAGAGAAGCAGAGGCTTCGTCTGTCTCAACATATTTTTAAATAAGAGGGCTGGGGTAGGGGAAAGTGTCTGCAGAAGAGGAGGGTGAAGGAAGGAGCAGAAAGGGGATTTACAGCACCAAGGTACCACTCCCTGTTATGCTTCAGCCCACGCTTTAAATTCTTTCAATGGAACAAAGTCAAGCTCTTTTTTTTTTTTTCCCCTCCCTTAGGTGAATCATGTTTGGAAAAATTTACTTGTAGTAAAGAAAAAGATAGAATTTAAGCCCTAATATTTCAGGAGCTGCTGTTGGTGAGCTAACAGGCATGGCCCTGTTTATGCATAGCTCTAAATTACTGCAGACTTCTTCATTAAAAACAGAGGAGAAAGAAATAATCCCCAAAGTCAGGTCTGTGTAACCGTAGCTCAGTAATGAACGCTTCATTTATTTAAACTTTTTCTCTCCATATGAATGTGGATGGGCGACTGGAAGGAAGCCAAGTCCAAACTGGTTGTAGCTGGTGCTGTTATTCCCAGCTGAGTCTAAATGGCTTGAGACTGTTCTGCATTTTGTAATGCCACCATCATTAAATCTTCTGTTACTGACTGCTTTGGAAGTACTCAATGAGCAACTGCATTACTTCTGGGTGCAGGTGCAAATCCCTGGGGTGATGTTGGTAATGCTACTGGGAAGGGAAACAAGGAATGTAAAGCTAATCTCCATTGCTCAATGTATGTTCATCAGATGAAAGATCTAGTTATCTCCTGGGCACTGAAATCTGTAACTCTTTGAGTCTAGAAGGTCATACAGCAACCATAGAAAATGCATGGTTAAATAATAATTGAAAAAAACCAAACAAACAGCAAACTGGCTGATTTGAGTTAGTGCCCTTTCCTAGTCACTCCAGTAGTTGCTTTTGGCCTTATTGTTAAGCAAGTATTGGTAGTGATTCTTTTTGTGTGTTTCAAAGTTGATCTTTCATTGATCTCTTCACATAGGCAGTGAAGATTGCAGTGCACGGTGCTTTAATTCCGTATCCCTCGCTCTAAGTTGAGGCTCACAAGAAAAGTGAGCCTTGTGCTGGTCATCTTGGCTTTTAGGGTCTTGTGATTCACTCTTAACTGCTTTCTCTTAAGGGATCTTGAAGCCAGAGCACAGAATGAATTCTTTCGGGCCTTCTTCAGATTGCCCAGGAAGGAGAAGCTGCATGAAGTTGTAGACTGTTCTCTCTGGACGCCGTTTAGTCGCTGTCACACAGCGGGAAGGATGTATACTTCAGACAGTTATATCTGTTTTGCCAGCAAAGAAAATGGCTGCTGCAATGTTATCATCCCACTTAGAGAGGTAGACTTGTTTGTTTGTTTAATTTTGGGTCCTTATCTGCCTTTTTCTGCCGTAAGCATCCACTGTCACTTGACGTGTGATGAAAAAGAGTTGGATGCTTGCATGTATCATGCCTATGGGACTGTTGCAAAGCTTGTTCTGGGACTCACTAGGGCACGAGTTCCTAAAAATACGGGTGATTCAACATGATCCTCAAAGTGAGATATGGACAGGTAACGCAGCAGGGCAGAGCTCTGCAAAAGCTCGGTCCAAAACTTGGACTGGGCTCCCCACCGAGCTCCACAAACACATAAGTCCAGGTTGATGGAGATTTCAGCTTGGATCCATTCTCACAGGACAAAGACGTCCTTGCCAGGGATCAACACTTAGAAGTGTTGAAGCTCTCCCTCCATAGAAAAACTCTGGAAAGCGTGTGGGCACTTCGTGCAGCTGTAGAAGGGCAGACAGAGAAGAAGGGGATGTTCTGGATGCAGTGACGAGCTGCTAAATTTCCATGAAATCAGAGACTTACTTAAATGGAGGGAGAGAGCATGGGAAGATGGTGGGAGTAGAAGAGAAGAAAGCTGTCAGCAAACACCTGCCTGATCTGCTGTGGATACAAGGCTGTTATCATCTCTTAATTAAAGCTTTCCATTCATCCTGACTAATAACAGAGTAACATCCAAATCATACCCTCACTGTAGCAACTTACCTTCCACTGTTACAGAAATAGAAAACAGTGAGAGAACAGTGTTACTTAATCAGACACAACAAAACAACTGTTTTCCACATCTTCAAAAGTGTGAAAATAAATTCCTCCTCCATCCCCTAAAATTTCATCCTTTTGATCCTTTTCTAAATCTTGTTTTAATCATACTCCCCTTTCTTATGTATCCCCTCAGTGCACTTTGCAGAAGTGGGCCGCAAAGTAATGAAAGAAATCCTGTTTAAAGCATACGTGCATGTTGAATGCTGTGTTTGTACATCTTGGTACATGTAGAATATTCGAAGATGTTTCTGTGGCTGTGGTGCATAATGTGTTTTCTGTAATGTTTCTGGAAAAGGTCATCAGCATAGAGAAGATGGAGGACACAAGCCTTCTCCCTAATCCCATCATTGTTAGCATAAGGAGCAAGATGGCCTTTCAGTTCATTGAGCTGAGGGACCGGGATACTTTGGTGGAGAACCTGCTCCAGAGGCTAAAAGAAGTGAACTCCAGCAACCCAGTGCACTGTAACAACTTGCAAGATAAGAACCAGGTACTGAACTTCTGGGGTTTGTTTTTTGGGTTATGAATTCAACTTGTTTATCCGTTGGTCCTGCCTTCCTCAGGGGGTTGATCTTGCGCCAGTGCTTTCTTGATGCCTTCTGTAAAGACCTGCCTGATGGGATGGAGAGCACCGGCAGCATGGTTGGGATGGACACGTGATGAGGGGCAGTGAATATGATGGGGCTGCCCTTCTTGGAGACCTCAGTGATCTGGAGGAATGAGCTGATAGGCACCTCATGAAGTTCAACAAAAGCAAATGCGAAGCCTGCCAGAGTAACGCCATGAAATGGGAGGGGCTCAGGGCTGGCTGGAGAGCAGCCGTGTGGAAAAAGCAGGGTGGTCATGGTAGACGACGGGTTGAGCTTATGAGTGTGCTCTTACAGTGAAGAGGGCCAATAGCATATGGAGTTATACTATAGCAGGATGGTAACCAGCAGGTCAAGGGATGTTACTGTTCCCTTTTATTCAGCACTTCTGAAGCTATCAGGAGAACTGTGTCCAGTTTTGTCTCTACCCCACCACACAAGAAAAGTATTGACCAATTCGAGTAAGTCTAGTGGAGGGCTACAAGGTGGTCAGGGGCTAAAGCACATGCTCTGTGAGAGAGGCTGAGGAAACAGGGCTTGTTCAGCCTGTCTTCCACCAGCTAACGGGAAGTTGCAGAGAAGATGGAGCCAGACTCTTGGATGTGCCAGCTGAAAGACAAATGGCAACAGTCCCAAGATCATCACGGAATCACAGAATGTGTTGGATTGGAAGGGACCTTTAGAGATCATCTAGTCCAACACCCCTGCAGGGAGCAGGGACATCTTTAACCAGATCAGGTTGCTGAGAGTCCCATCAAGCCTGACCTTGAATGTCTCCAGGGATGAAGCCTCCATCCCCTCTGTGGGCAACCTGTGGCAGTGTTTCACCATCCTCATGGTGAAGAATTTCTTCCTAATGTCTAGTCTAAATCTAGCCTCTTTAGTTTAAAATTATTTCCTCTTGTCCTGTCACAACAGGCTTTGCTGAAAAGATTGGTTCCATCTTTCTTAAAAGTTCTCTTTAAATATTGAAAGGCTGTAGTAAGGTCTCCCTGGAGCCTTGTCTTCTCCAGGCTGAACAGCCTCAACTCTCTCAGCCTGTCCTCGCAGAAGAGGTGCTTCATCTCTCTGATCATTTTTGTGGCCTCCTCTGGACCTGCTCCAACAGGTCCACATCCTTCTTGTGTTGAGGGCCCCAGAGCTGGACACAGCACTCCAGGTAAGGTCTCACCAGAGCAGAGCAGAGGGGCAGAATCACCTCTCTCAACCTGCTGGCCACACTGCTTTTGATGCAGCCCAGGATGCAATTGGCCTTCTGGGCTACGAATGTGCATCATTGGCTCATATACAGCTTTTCATCCACCAGTACCCCTCAGTCCTTTTCTATGGGGCTGCTCTTTATCACATCATTCCCCAGCCTGTATTGAGAATGCAGATTGTCCCGACCCAGCTGCAGGACCTTGCATTTGGCATTGTTGAACCTCATGAGGTTCCCATGGACCCACTTCTCCGGCTTGTCCAGGTCCCTCTGGAGGACATCCCGTCCCTCTGGAGGAGATCCCATCCCTCTGGCTTGTCGACCTCACCACTCAGCTTGGTGTCATCTGCAAACTTGCTGAGAGTGCACTCGCTTCCACTGTGTGTCCTTCATGAATATATTAAACGAAAGGTTTTGATGCAGAAGACAAAGGCTCCTCCTGCTCTATCGTGAAGACAGTTGAAGACGTAGTTCTCAGCCTTTTCTCAGTTGTTACTGCTTTGATTCTGCATTGCAGAACAGTCCTGCATTTGGACCCACAAGTGTGCTCACAGATGGTGAGCCCATGCATCTGGCAACAGAGGCTTCACAAGGCAAGGAGAGACTCGAATGTGGAAAGGAGAGCAATTATTTGCTCAATGCAGAAGCACTAAGGTCAGACTTTCATCAGTCAGAAATGGCAGGCCTTGATTTTGGAAAGGTAAGTAACATTTAGGGTAAATTGTAGGAGTTTTGGTTTTTGTTTTGTTTTCTCTCTTTAAAAACCTGGGGTGGCATTCAAACAGTAATTTTTAGTAAAATGAACTCTATATTGGCTAGAGAAATTAAATACAGGATAAGAATTTTTCTGTTTGCTTGGAGTTTTTTCTTCTCCCTCTGCTTGATTTCTTTCTGTTGAATGTTTATAATCTTTCTCCCTGTGTGGTGACTTACATATGCAAAATGGGCAAAGTCGTAGTGCTTAGAGCAGACTTCCCGTTTCCCTTGCAGAATTTCTAGTATGTAAAAAGTTTCTCTTTACCAGTTCTCACATACACATGTTTTGTTCTTTTTTAAATACATCTTCGTATTCCCAGTCTAGGGAGCAAATCAAAGAGAGCCTGTGGAATGACCATTTTGTAGAATATGGCAGAACCGTGTGTATGTTTCGGACCGAGAAGATCAGAAAACTTGTTGCTATGGGAATCCCTGAATCCTTAAGAGGCAAACTCTGGCTGCTCTTCTCAGGTGGGCACGCTTAGAAATGTTGGCTGTAGGCATCATCTGATTCTGAACATGGCAAAACATTTAGGCAAGAAACCTCCCAAGGGTGATTAAATGTAATTTCTGTGGAGCTTATGTTACTGGTTACAAAAGAAAGATGATCTGAGCTGAGCTAATAAGTGCAAGGAAGTATCTGTAAAAATTTTATCTCAGGATAACATGACGTGCAGAAGAATTGAAATAACATCTTCATCTGTGTAATTTAAAATTAACATCATGCTTTCATAAAATGATGTTCCTCTTCAAGCAACAATTAGATTGCAGCATAAATATTGATTTAGCCTTAGACAAATCAAGTTATTGCAAAATAATGACATCTTAAAAGTCAGCAGTCCTGCTCCTGCTTCTTGTTGAATGTTGGCAGGGCTAACAGAAACTGGAGATGGAAAAATCAGGTCGTTTCATCCACAGATCTGGCAGAGCCAGAATGTGCCTACAGTATGATCTCAAGATTAATCCTCAATCCAGTATGTGACATCTTCAAACATTTGTTAAACAGTATTCTTTCAATGTGGAGTTTTTCCTCCTTGGAAGGTGTGAACAGCATGGAGTACATTTCTCCCATTTCTTTCTGCTCCATGTCAATATTAAGGTTTGAGTGACGTTGTATCGTATAAGCTTTGATGATACCTGTTTTGTTGTCGAGACACGTATTCTGCTAGGACTTCATTTCTTTTAGGTCTGGAGATTTCACTAAATTCATGGACTTTGGGAAAAACCATCTTGCTTACATCCTTTCGAGTGGTGGTACCCACGACTGTGAGCCTAGCATCGTCCTAACCTGCGCGCATCTTCCTCTTGCTCTTCTCTTCCTGCTGCCTCCAGATGCCGTGACAGATCTCGCCGCGCATCCCGGTTACTACGTACATTTGGTGGAGGCATCCATGGGCAAGTGCTGTATGGCAACGGAGGAGATCGAACGCGACCTCCACCGCTCGCTGCCCGAGCACCCCGCCTTCCAGAGTGAGACGGGGATAGCCGCCCTGAGAAGGGTGCTCACGGCATACGCGCACAGGAACCCCAAAATAGGATACTGCCAGGTGAAAAACTCTTGGCTGCTTTTTTCCCCCCCTTTCTGCTCTCGGGAGTATTTTTAGCAGTGGTTTTGATAAATTACGTCCTTCAGATTACAAAAAATCCATAATTTCTAATATTAAATGATTTAACATCAGACCTGGATACACGAAGCAGGAAAAAGCGGCCCCAAAGTATCTCGCACTCTCTGTTGCCTGCCTTGTATCTGGGCATGTCCAGTACTGTGCTTTTCTCCATTGTTTCCTATTGCTTTTATGAAAAGCAGCATGCATGAGCTTGAAAAACTTGTTATGCCTTGGGGTTGCAACTAGATATTTGCTGTCTATTTGTTTCTTTTTTTAGTTGTTTGCATCATGTTAACCTACTTTGCTTTCTTTAAAAATAGCCACAGTTTAGCTTTTGTCAGTAGGATTTGCTGTCACTAACAAAGCTCATTTTCTTCTTTGCCCTTGTAAGTCTATGAATATTTTGACCTCCGTGCTGCTGTTGTATGCCAAAGAGGAAGAAGCCTTTTGGCTGCTGGTTGCTGTGTGCGAGCGAATGCTGCCAGATTACTTCAATCACCGAGTGATAGGTGAGCCCGTGTCTCTCTTCTTGCTAACTGGGAAGGGATGGCTCAATGGCACTGGGGTGAATAAAATGTTCAAGGTTTTCTAAGGTCCAGGCCCCACAGGTGGTCCGTTGACTTGTGTGGTGTGCAGGGACAGCAGTGGTGGCTGCTCAGGTTCCATCTAGAGTTGGTTTCAGTTCAAAGAATTTGAATTGCAAGAACTGTACATACATGCTCAACTTTACAGTTTGTCTTTTTTATTTTTTTTCTCCCCTGTTGATCAGAAGGCAGTGACAATTTGACTGTTGGGTGAAAGTAGAAGAGTATGCATGTCTTGGTTAGGAGTGTTTGATATCGCAGACCTGACCTGTGTAAGAAGAACCTCAGGAAAATCCCTTAGGGGACCTACTTCTGATCTGACGTGTCTGCATTGCCTGGCTGCTGCAGGGATACAGGCGTGCATCTAAACTGTCCCTTTGTAATGAGGGCTGATAAAAACCCCTTTGACTGTGAGATGCTGCATTAAGAAATAAGCCCAGTCCCCCTGCAGTGCGTGCCTTGTGCTGCATGTGCTGTCTCCTTTGCAGTGCAACTGTTTTTAAGACTGTTGTGCAATCGTCTGCCTAATGCACAGAAAGAAAGGGGCTGAGCAGCCAGAGGCAGTGATTGCAGGTTTGCATTCTAGCAAGAGTATTTGTTCTTTGCAGTTGCTTCCTCCTCTTACAGAAGTGTTTGATAGCTTTTCCCTCTTTAGTGCTAAACTTTCTCTTAGGTACAATGCCTGCTGTTGCACCATCAGCACAGCAAAGGGGAAGGATCAGGGTCATTTGTGAGGAGGTGGGGATAGGAGAGAATCCCTGGCAGTAGTGGTTCTGGGAGCTGGAGGTGGGATGGGTGCTCTTGTGCCACCTGGGAAGCGGGAGGAGACATCTGAGATTTCCAGTCTTTTGCTTGGAGGATGGAATTGCCATACCTCCCTCCTGATGCTGTGCCGTGGTGCAGTTATTGTCTTGTCACTGAACTGGCAAGGAGGGTGAGTTAAAGCAGAGGTATTCCAAAGTTAGCTTGGATGCTTAGGATGTGTTGTGGTGCTTTGAATACCATTGGTATTTTCAAGCAGTGGATTGGGCGCTGTAACTGTCCTGCTTGGTAGAATTTTGGTTCCTGTCTCCAAACATGACTTTAAACTGCTATCTTGAGGACTTAGTTCCATATTTGTCTCTTTCCTTGCTTAAAAAAGAAAGACAGCTTTACCTGTCCTTATGCGTTTCTAGACGTCGTCAGTCAGCCTTGAGTTACTGGTAACTTTGGTGCTTGCTGGGTTATTGCCCCTAAGTAGCATTCTCTGCACCTGAACAAACTTGAATTGTTCAACTTGGCCAGCCATAATACCTAATTTTGGGTTTGTGTCTCACCCGTCACTCCCCATGGCTACAACCTACGCTGCGTGCTGATAGCCTTGCTTGTCCTCTCTCTCTATTTTCCTGTCCGTTCTACCCAAAGGAAAGAGTACCATGACTCTAAAAGAGGTACTGCCATGGCTTACCACAGTGCTGGAGCCAGGGGCTTCAGCTCAGAAGCCGCCCTGCTTCCCCGCGTCGAACGGCAGCAGTGTAGTTTTGCGGCATGGTTGCCTCTCTGAGCAATTTCTTCTGCAGCTTTTTTTTTTACCCTAGTCCTTAGCATGTCCACGTCAGTGCTACTGATCTTCTCCACCCTGTCCCTCCTCTTGGTTCCTGTTGCTTGAGTTCGTGTTCTTGGCTTTGCATTCCAGTTGACCTTTTTTTTGACTTGCAACCGGCTCTTGTCTAAACTTTGTATTGTTTCTTCCTGCATAACGCTTCCGAGACCCAACTTTTCCTCTGTGTCCACACTGCCAACGCTGTTGTCCAAATTTTGATCTCTCTGTAACTTTGGTGATCTCTGACCTTGGTACCTGTCATTGCACTTTTCCTCTTCAGTGTCAGCCAATAATCTCTGTAGTCAAAACAGCTACTGAATTAATGACCTTGGGTATTTCAGGCCTTCTTAGCTCCGTTTTCCCTTGAGCCTTTCTCCTTATGGCATTCAGAGTATTTTTAAAATTTATTTATTTTGAATTTGGGCTTTCAAAACTTAGGCAATTCAGTCCCACTCTACCTTTTTAGTTTTACCATGTGACCATCTGCCTCTCCTTCAGCCTTGCCAACTATGGCCACTCTCTTTTTTTCACAACCCGTTGCATTTATTTCACTGCTTGCATTATCTCCTCCTTTGGGAACTCCCTCCATCCTTCTCCTTTCTGCCATGCAGAGGAGAAATTATAGGCAGGTAGCTACAAGATAGAAACAAGTTGTACTTGGGTCAAGAGTGACGACAAGGATCATGCAATCTTATTTTCGTGTTACCATGACTTTTCCATCCTCTCCATAAACGAGCAGGCCATCTTACTCCACTTTATGTGTTAAGACTGTCATCATCTTGCTGCTATACTTCTTGAAACGGTGAAAACCTCTCTTCGTTTCTCTGATGTGCCTTTTCAGTCTTGGAGATGTTATTTAGTTTGCATCTTGGACCATAATTTTTTAAACAGATACCCTAGAATTTTCCCAACTCGATTTCATGCTATAATGCATTAGAGGCTCAGTTGCTCAGATATGCTGGTTTCTGGGAGCCTAATGAAAAGATGGACATAAAAGTCGCTTTGAATATGCCAGCTTGACTTCCATCAGCAGTGTCAACACTTAATTATAATATGATCTCCTGCGAAAGCTCTGGGCAGCATTGTGTATTTATTTTAAACCCCTGCTCTTGCCAGTCCCTCCTGTGCTGCATCTTGATCTAGAATAATCTTTTAACATGTATCTGCCTGTCTCTGGTTTCCCTCAAATACTTATTAAACCAGTTATGTTTTTTTTATTCTGTGTTAACTATGGCTATTATATGTGTAAGCTTGTTAAAAAAAAAAAGAAAAACCACAAAAAATCTTCCCCCTGTTGAGTAACCCAAGTCTGTTTTCTCCTCTGTTTTCTTTACCCTTCTTATTTATGATCATCTGATGTGAGAAGACTATCTCTTCCAGGCAAAGCACCGTACTTTTCTCAAAAGCTCTTTGCGTGTCCCTGGGCACTTATTTTTGATTTGTGTTCCTGTTATGTTTGTTCAGCCACCAGCAGAAGCTCTTCTTGTGGTTTGATGTGAAAAGTTCTAAGACAGAGAAATGTCATAGCTGGGTTATTTTTTTAATGATTCGGATGCAAAGCCCAAAGATGCTGTCTCTGCCACAAATTGCCCAGGTTCAGGACAACAGAAGTTTTGACTGCTAAGGGTATATATGTCTCAGGAATTTCATAGCAATTAAAGTTGTCTCCTAATACTAGCAGAATATGAACTGGGAGAAAGAATTGAAATAACTTGAAAAGAAAGAAAAAATAATTGAAAAGCTAACTGCATTTTGTATTCAGGAACATTTTTTAAACTTCTGTCATATTTGATTAAAGCCTCTGATGTGGTAGATCTAGTTTGTAGACACAGGCCACTTCAGCAATATGAAACTGCACTGATTCCAGAACAGGTGCTGACAGAAAAGTACTGAGCTAGTAGGTAAAACAGAGCCCAAATGTGCTCTTTTTGGAAAAACTCGTTGGGACAGTTAGGAAAGCTTGTATCTGGGCATTACAGATAGATATATACAGATGTAGATATGTACGCATGCAAGTATATGTTTATTTCTGCACGTTTATTTATTTGTAAATATTTTTCTTCCTGCTTAGTGTGTAGCCATATCTGGATTTCCATTTTATACTTTCTCACTTATAAAGAAAGCTCTACTACCCCCCTGCCTGAGTGCATATGCTGGTGAAGAATGCGTACTGTCTTATTTTCATTGCATAGATCCCAAGTTGAACAGTAAAATGCTTTAAGATTGCGTTCGTTAGCGCTTAATTACTATGTGCTCTTTTAGCCAAAATCAACAGCTGCTGCTATTACTCCTTCATTGCACTCCAAAGGTCCTTAGCAGAATCAACACTGCCTTTTTGCAGAAAGTTATACAGTGAGGATTACGGACAGGAGGATTGGGGCTGAGATCGCAGCAGGAGGATAATGAGATTTTTTCATTGTAGATGCATGCGTATCTTGTGAGTTTAAATCTTAAAATAGTCTTGCAGCTGATAGTTGACAGCAATTGTTAGCTTTAAACAATATCTTTTCCTGTGTCAGTCCTGACTAATACTGTTTCTTTATAACTTGCAGGTGCACAGGTAGACCAGTCGGTGTTCGAAGAGCTTATAAAAGAGCAACTTCCAGAGCTGGCTGAACATATGAAGGATCTGACAACCTTAGCTTCCATTTCTCTGTCATGGTTCCTTACTCTTTTCCTTAGCATCATGCCCCTGGAAAGTGCTGTGAATGTTGTGGACTGCTTCTTCTATGACGGGATCAAAGCTATTTTCCAGCTGGGCTTGGCCATACTGGAAGCCAACGCTGTGGATCTGTGTAACAGCAAGGACGATGGGCAGGCCCTGATGATCCTGAGCAGGTATGGCCGTGCAGGAGCTCTCCTCCCATCGCGGACCGTTCTGCCGTAAAACAAAGGCATTTGGGTGCCTTTGGAATACTGGCAGTGCTCTGTAGGCACCAGTGGGACCTTCTGTGTTACCTTGCTGCTGCTACTTTCTCAGTGTCTGCTTAAACAATGGGCTTCGTACATTGGACAAGTAGAATCACAGAATGTCAGAGGTTGGAAGGGACCTTGAAAGATCATCTAGTCCAACCCCCCTGCCAGAGCAGTATCCCCTAGGGCAGCCACACAGGAACGCGTCCAGGCGGGTTTTGAAAGTCTCCAGAGAAGGAGCCTCCACAACCTCTCTGGGCAGCCTGTGCCAGTGCTCTGTCACCCTCACAGTGAAGAAATTTCTCCTCATGTTGAGGTGGAACTTCCTGTGTTCTAACTTAAACCCATTATTTCTTGTTCTGTTACTGGGCACCACTGAGAAGAGATTGTCTCCTTCCTCTTGACACCCACCCCTCAGATATTTATATACGTTTATAAGGTCCCCTCTCAGCCGTCTCCTTTCAAGGCTAAATGTAGACGTCCTGTGAAATTTCCTGGCAGCGCGGAGACATGCATCGACTGCGTCAATGTGCAATATTTACTGCTGCTCTTTCGTGCCTTCCCCAGAGTGACGGGCTTCCTGCTCCAGACTTCAAGGAGACAGAAGTTTTCTTCCTTGGGCAGCATTTAGTTGTTTGGCTTGTTTGCCGTTGCTCAGATGAGTAATCATGAAGGCATTTTTGAAAAGCCTAAGCAGCCCCAAATCCATTTTATATCTGAGCCACAAGACTTGTTTTCTTTTTTTTATTGAGAAGAGCACAGTGCAGAGTAATGTGTTACTTGTGTTTCTTCCTTTCAGGTTTTTAGAGCATGTCAAAAATGAGGAAAGCCCTCTGCCACCTATTGGCAATCACCATGCCTTCTTCAGCGACGACCAGGAACCCTCTCCAGTGACTGAAATAGCCAACCTGATTCACGACTCCTATGAGGTAAAAATATTGCTCCATGTCTATGTATCAAATAAGTTCCAGTTTTAAAAAAGGAAAAGGTTAAATTCAACATAGATGTTTTGAAAGTTAATGCACACCTTTACAGATTCCATGACTAAGAGCTCAAGTGCACAGGGCTAGGTGTAGTATAAATACCTACACTGACTGATCAGTTAGAGACTGGGTGTGTTTTTTCTTCAAGGACTCAAAATACTTTAAAAGTTGTATTTCCAGTAAATCAGAAATACAAATATCATAAAATACTATAAAAATAATAAACTTCTCTTCCTCCCTTGTAGAAATTTGGAGATCATTCTGTGGCACAGATAGAGCATATGCGCTACAAACACCGAATCCGTGTCCTGCAGAGCCATGAGGACACAACCAAGCAAAATGTGGTGAGTAGGATATTGTTTTGACTGAGGTAGCTTAACATCTCCTCTCTGGAGGCTGATGGCTTTCATTTTTTAGAAAGCACCACCAGACCTGGAAAAAAAGGAAGAACCATTACTGGCTCTGGAAGAAGCTCTTTCCTGGGATGCTGATGGGTTTGTTTTTTTTTTTTTTTGTGGCCGCTTACATTATTTTCTAGGGTGGCTTTGACATTAAGAGCAACTGCAGGACAGTCCAGCCCAGCGCCTTGTCTCTGACTGTGGCCCTAGGCAGATGCCCGGGGAGGAGTGTAAGAAGAGAGTGAGCGTGATGCGATTCTTCCCTGACGCCTCCTGTGACCTGTGGCTTAGGGACTTCCCATCTTTGTTTCTACTAGCCCTTGAGGGATTTCTTTTCACGGATCTGTTCTGGTGAACCTAAAGGAGAGAGGGAGATGGCAACGATTTTTTCAATGCTGTACCACATAAATACAGACCCTGCAGGGCTCATGGACATGCTTGTGACAGTAGTGACGGACTAACACTGTTTTCCTTTCTTTTTAAGCTCCGAGTTGTCATCCCAGATGTTTCGATTCTTCCAGAAGATTTAGAGGAATTGTATGACTTGTTCAAGGTTGGTCTCCCTGAAAAGTAGGGGATGCACCTACTTGAGGCTTCTGGGCTTAACTTCCAGCTGTCACTTTGCAGTGCTGCCTTAGACCTCTTGTCCTTTGCCTGGGCAGCAGGGTTCAGGTGGGATCTTGTCATATTGTCCTTTCTGTGGTTGCCCAGCTGTTAAAGAAGAATAGTAACATCCTGATCCTTCAAAGAATTACTTCAGAGTTTCTCTTGTAACTTACTGCTTGGAAATGGTCCATGAGGAATTAGGTTCTGGTAACTTTCACATGCAAAGTAAATTAAATAATATGTAGCTCCACTCACTGGGAGGGAACTCTGCAGTACTTTTAAATCCCGCTCTCTTAACGCTCTTTAAAGGCAGACTCTATTAACCAGTTTTCTAATTGCTTTATTTTTATTAGCTAAAAGCTGTTTCTTGTTCAGTTCCTGCCAAGGTGATGTTTGAAAAAATTACTATAAAAATTATTTGCAAGGAGACAAGGACATCCAAGCTTATACAACTATACTTGTTTTAGAGGTCCAAGCGTGTAATTATTGCCCTTAGTGGACCATTTCTTTTGTGTAGTGTTCATAGCCATAAATACTAGGTACCAAGAATGTGACTGTGGTATGTTCTTAGTGTTATGCAGCTTTCTGGCTAAGAGCAGCTGTATCCTCCCTCCATTAGTAGTTGTAAGATGATGTTAATGGCCCTTGTTCTTTGGTGCTTCCCTCCCGCTCCTTGACGCTTTTTTTTAATTGAGATTTGGTTGGCTTGCACTCCTCCCCTTTCCTAAGTTCATTTATTGGTGGTGGTTCCTTTTTCGTTGGCTCCCTTGCTCCCCTGGAACAGCTCGTTTTGTTAGGACTCTGTTTTGCATCAGCCTGTCCCTAAGGGAAGACGAATAGGTACCATATGCAAGTGGAAAGGTCTGAGAGAGAATAAATGAGCTAGGCAAGTCTGTATAATGCTGACCCTGAGTTTTCTTTGACCCTCTGTACCTTTGGTGGGTTAGAGACATCCTGGGCCAGAAGTGGCTAATGGAGTTTCAGTAGCCTGCAATAAATTGCTTCGAAGAAGCTGCCCACTCTACCTTCAGATTTATTAATTATCCACTGGAAATTGTGAGAGTGCTTGCCTGCTCCAATGGAAGATTCATACTTCTGCTTTTTCTCACAGGGATGGTCTTGGTATTGGAGAATTTCCAGCATACTTTGATGTGAATGCCTTTTTTTTCTGCTGGTTGCGCTCCCTCTGGTACCACACTCTGCAATCCCCCAAACCCCTCACCTCTCCCCGCTCTGATTTCTCCTAGAGGGAGCATTTAATAAGGTGTTACTGGGAAAGGACGAGCCCAGTGGTCGAGCGGCACGACCCCAGCAGACCGTACGCTGAGCAGTACCGCATCGACGCCC